AGGAATGCCCTTCCTTTTAGTTGCAAAGCTAACTACACTGCACACAAGTTATGGTCACCTTGCATATCACTGGTGAAAATGATTTACTTTGTTTTCTCACATATGGCACACTCCATATTATAATGTCTTTTTTGAGCAACAGCTTGAAGAAGAAAATTCTTATAATGTATTATGGGTAAATGACCAAGTAGCAGCAACTAGGGAATAAAGCTTGTTCCTGAGCTTGCTTCTAGTACTGCACTGTGGATGGGGCCTGTGCACTGACCCTATATACTGACGCAATCCAGTGCACCAGGTCTGTGGCTGTGTTCTCGATCTAGGGCTATGCACCTGATCCAGGTGCGGACTGACCTTGTGCACTGGCTGAATCCAACATGGGAGGCCATGTTATCCAGCTAGGGAGCTCCTCCCATGAACCCATAATTTGGCAGCATGGTGGTGGGGGTGGGGGTTATGTTAATTGCTGTAGGTTCCAGAGCCGTGCTGCTGCTTCTCCCCCGCTGCCAAATTTCCAGATCTTTAAGGATCTGTTTCTTCGTATAATGCACATATAAATTTCCCCTGGCTGCTTTTGGGGAAAAAGGTGTGTGCTTTATGTGAGAAAATATGGTATGTCGTGAAATTGAAGTTACTTACAGTCATTTACACTACATAAAAGAATCTTGCTATGTTTTAAATTTAAGCGCTTAAGTATTTAGGTAGTAATAAAATTGTCATAATTAGACTATCCTTTTCTTTTTTTGTTTTTGTTTTGTTTTTTTTTTGCCTCATTTTGGACAGTTGTACACTGTATCCCACCTTTGAACACTGGCAAATGAGGCATGAATAATGTTAGTCTTCCCTCTACTTCTAGCACCATGATTTCTGTGTAGGGTTAGGAGAGAGCAAACTTTAGTTTTTAGTTCCTGATGTACTCTGCATTATGTGTGTTTTTCTCTTTCTGCATAGATGAAAAACCCAGACAGTTCCCTGAACATGAAGAAACAGCTGAGATGATGGCAGCCAGGATTGACAGAGATGTTGTAAGTGAGAAAATACATGCAGTATCGATCAGTCTTCTAGATCAGTGGTTCTCAATATTTTTTTGTACCAGGACCCATTTGTAAACATCAATGGCCAGTCCTGACCCAGTGCCTCCGCCCCCAGGTCTCATCCCCCAGTGTGTGGGGCAGGGGGAATGTGTTTGGGGTATGGGGGGTCCCAAGTAGCCCCTTGCAGGCTGGAACTTTGCCAGTCTGCAAGGGAAAAGCCATGGTTTCCCACATTTTTCTCCTTTAAAGAAGAATCCATTTTTAAAGTTTGTTGATCCATATTTAAAGTTTGTTCATGACCCTTTCATATAGTCTTGCGACCCACTTTTTGGGTCACAACCCACAGGTTAAGAAACACTCTTCTAAATTGTTGCTTCATGAACAGAAAGAGACTTTTTTTCCATAAATGAACTTCATTTCAGAAGGAAAAATTTCCAACCATGCCAGATTGTACTACAATAGATTTTCAAGGAGCTGAAATGAGATCTGAGATGAGATAACTAAAATCAGATTCAGTTCTGGAAAGCTAGAAACTTAGATATGAGAAACAAATGCACTTAAGCTTTGCTTCAAGAAGGTGCTGAAGAGTATGCTTACATCCCCTTAAACTTTATGGGGCTTAAATCTGTTTAAAGTGCAGCAGAATTGAGTTGGACCTAAGCATGTACTTAAGTATGTTCTTGAATTGCCGCACATACCTGTGCTCTACTTAGCCTGTTCTTCCCTTCCACTTTATGCATAAGAGTTACCATATTTACTTGAAAAAAAAAGTTTTTTTCCACAATCAGCTTGGGAGGTAAAAGCCCCTCATCTTATATTTGCATACCAGCAAACCCCCTCATTAAATATGTTGCCTGTTATTAAACTGCTGCTAGAAGGAGCATGTGCTCAGTCATAGAAACCAGCTAGGAACTTGATTGTGTGTAGCTTATGCTGAGCATGCCCATATTACACCTGTCCTGTATTAGGTAAATACACTGATAGGAACCTTTTTGGTCCTTAGAAAAAAGCAGGCAAGTGTTCCTTTCACAGGGAAATAGCACTGGGCCTGGAGGTACTGGCAATACCAGGCTGGCACCAGGAGAGCAGAGCCAGCCCTGACACCCTTCCCTTGGTGACAAAAGTGCTACATTTGATCATACCCAAAAACACTGAGATGTTGATGGGGCACTTTTTAGGAAAAATGTTTATGTCCCAGGTCAAATTAGCCAGATCAGGTCCAAATCCATTTGACTAATTCGGAAACCATATGTGGCACTGCTACTAGCAAATATCCTCCACCCTAGCATGGGGCTTCAGATGCTTCCAAATCATTTGGAAAGCATGCTACATTCAGGCCCGAGCCTGGAGACTTAGGATTTGGATGCCCCTGAGTTTTGCTTGCTCTCAGTAGTATGGCCACAAGAGCAAGCTAGGGAGGAATCTCCCATTTCCATAAAGTTGGTATGTAGCTGAGATCCTCTTGCTGGAAACTGGCCAGCGAGAAGCTAAGCATGAGGCTCTTGTAGGGAGTCCTGTCTATAAGCTGACAAAGGTGCACCCTGCACTACACAGTGCTATTTTAATTGCATTACCTTCCCCTACCACCATCATGGTCATGGTATTTCCCCTGCCAAGTAATTATGGGGTATCCTTTACAAGGACAGGTCTGTGCAGTCTATCTGGATAAGACACAGTGCTCATTGTGCCCAGCCCCCCTGAGCATTGACTCTTTTTCAAGTCATGGTGAACCACTATATCAAATACATTTCAACTTCCTCTTCATTCCCACAGTTCAGCAGTGCCTTTCTTTCCCATTTCCAATTATTCCTGTTTCCCCACCAGCCTTAAATATCTGGCAAACATCACCAAGCTCCTGTCTCTCAGCCTGTCGCATATGATTCATATGGCCCTTCCATCTTGAGGTGGAAATGGACCAGGCAGCCCTGGCCCTCATCTGCATATAAATGTTTGGAGGGTCTCGGGACTTGTGATGAGAACACCTGGTTCCCGTCATTGGGGGGGTGGGGATTAGCACATGGATCCTTTGTTGAATACACACACATACAGAGCAGTGTTGAGATGTGGGATCACCATGGCATGACCTATTATGGGCTCTGCTGGGGTCCAGCCCAATGAACTATACCGTAAGTCATGAGACTTTTGGCTTTGGACTAATATCATGCATGGTTTGTATTATGTATAAGTAGGTACAAGAATGCTACTCAAAAGCTTGTTTATGGGATACCTATGCTAAAAACTGCAGCAGTTTTCAACGAGTTAAAATCCATCAATGCTGAACCAACTAAGTCTATGGGTACCTATAGTAATTTGCACTCTGTGGGAATGTTTATTTCAAAGTCAGTGGTTTTCTTGGTCCTTTGCATTTCAGATTTTCAAAGGGTAAGATAGTGGTGGATTGGGGGAAAAGAGGGAACTGCTGCCCTCCCCTCTGTCCCTTTCTCCCCTCTTACTGTCACGTACAGCTCACTACCATGTTGTGCTCAGAGAGGGAACAGCCTATGCAGGGCTTAATAGTAAAATGGGGCAGGAAGACTGCAGGGGGAAGATGTTGTGGGGGGTAGCAGAGGGCAAGCCACCTGACCCCCACCCCCTATTTTCCCTGCTGTAGCAGTCAGAGGGGGACCAATTCAAAACAGCCCTCTGATAATTAAATTCTACACCTGAAAAATTATAACAAATGTATATATCTTCCTTATACAGAATCTAATTACTGGGGGATTTTCATATATTCAACGTCATCTTATAGTCAAGTACATATGGTATTTAAGTTGGTCAAGGAATCTTCCATATATAGCAAAATGAAGTATGCTATTTAGTAAAATAGCAGTTTTAGTATATTACATCAAAGTGAATATTAAAGTATGCCATGTAAGAAAATGGCTCAATTGTAGATCCCTGGTTAGACTAGATGGTCTTTTTGAACTCCCTTCCAGCCCTACTTCTCTATGAGTAGCATAGAAAAAATTATGCTTTAACAACATTTTTTTCATGTACTCTGTGGGAAAATACATTATGTGAATTAGAGCTAATGGAAGCCAAAATGTAATACTTGCCTAGAACAGCTTTTAATGATCGTGACTTTTTCAAATGGATATTTAAACTTCAGAAATAAACAAATGTCAGTTTTATAAATGTCAGACTTAAAATGAACCTAAATATACAGAACTTTTTGCAACTGATGGTGAATGTAGGAAACTACAAATTTACTGATTTTTGTTTTAATGACTAACGGTGCTATTTAAGATAGGGAGAGTGATTGTTTTCTTACTTTTCTATAGCAAATTCTGAACCATATTTTGGATGACATTGAATATTTTGTTACTAAACTTCAAAAAGCTGCTGAGGCATTTTCTGAGCTTTCAAAGAGAAAGAAAACCAAAAAAAATAAAAAGAAAGGACCTGGAGGTAAGAACTACTCCCCCTTCCATACCCCTAGAGTTTATTATGATTAGGATTTTTTCCCCCTCTAAAACCATGTATGTACCTAGGAAATGTGTGTGTAGGGAGGAGTTTCTTGGGGCGGGGGGTCTTATTTACATTTTTATGGTTGCAATTTCAATTTCATTAAACAAATGATTTTATTTTCCTTTAAGTCTGGATATACAGTAAGAATAAAAACTTGTTCTAGTCTTTCAGCCCTTACTCATGTAAGCAATTCCCCTTGAAGTCCCATTCTTCAAGTCAATGTGGAATACTGATGCGAGTAAAGGCTTCAGACTAGAACCCATAGCAATAACTGTAAGTGTGCTAGATTACTCTAACCAATGCATTTTTCATTTTGTTCACTAGAGGGGGTTCTCACTCTCCGTGCAAAACCGCCACCTCCAGATGAATTTGTTGATTGTTTTCAGAAATTCAAGCATGGCTTTAACCTTCTTGTAAGTACTTGCCACCAGCTACAGCTCCATAGGGTAGGCAGGAGCAGCATTTCCTAGCTTCTCTGGATTTTCTTAGCTTCTCAGACAGTGTGTTATTTTTCTTTCTCAGCTACCTTAAATTTGACTGAGGGCACCTTGTCATGTCAGTTTTGCCCCTAGCACCACAAACCACCACCCATCCCTAGTTGCTAGAATGTTTTTGTTGTTGTTTGGGGCGGGGGTTAATATGAAACAAGGAACAGATGGGTAGCAAGCCTGGTGTAGCATCTTTGCTAGAGCATTAGTCTTCTGGGGTGTGTCAGCATGGTCGGGCATGAAACATTCCCTTGCCCCCTCTCATTCTCACTCCATCTGTGAAAAATGCTTTAAAAATGTACTGTAGCCTCTATTAAAATGGCATTGGTCATGTACCAACAAGTATGTTGAAGACTGAGAGCGATGCTGAGTTCACCTGGGCCAGATTGCATTTCTTGAACCATTTGTACACAGAGCAGGAACAAGTGGTTGGTACTCAATCTCATGGTTAGAGGGGCCGGAGACATGCCTCTGTGATAAATCCATATTGTTCCTACTTCATGTTCCAATCCAGTCAAGTTGACTTAAACAGATTTGGAAGTAGCTGAGCTGGTCCTTGGGTGATCTGGGCTCCAAAGTCCCTATCTACAGAGGAGCCAGGAATGACCCAAGTGGCATTTGGCTCCTTTCATCTGTGTCCAAAATTGCAATGCCAATCTATAGATCCTAGAGCAGCAAAGATTTGACTGGGCTGTCTCCTGACTGGTGGATGATGTGTGTGGATTTTTTATTTAAAAAAAAAAAAAAATACAGAAAAAGGATGTTTCAAGAGTTTTACTAGCACAAGTAGAATTTTAATTGTAAAATGATTTCCTGAGAGGTTTGTTAGGGAAAAGCTCAGCTCACTCTTGCACGTGTGCCAGTCTCACTATTAATACTCTCTATTTAGTATTTCAGTTGTGCCTGTCAGATTCTGTACTCATTGCCACTGCAAAGTACACTGAATAATACTTGTCAAGTATGCCATGAAAATGCACACAAAACGTATTAGCTTTAAAATACTCTAGCCCGTGGATTGCTCTTGCCCTGTGCATCACCAGCCATTGGCACCTGGTGGTACTAAGTAACATACTGGCTGCTGGGGTCTGTGTGGGGGGGGGTGTGTTCTGGGGGCGGGGGGTGTGATGTACTCTACAAGATATTTGTAAAGGTTGGGAATTTAGGGAAAGTTGCCGTATGTCATGTTCTTCATGTACTTGAAATTGCAGTTAATTCAGGCAAGTGCCATAGCCTCTGTTTTGCAGATCAGACTGGACATTTACAATAGTGTTTTCTGATCCTAAACTCTTAAATCATAGACACTCTCTTGTGGAGAAAATCAAGTCTTCTCCATCTTGATGCTCTTGCACCTAAGAGCACATGGTTGAACAGTGTGGTGCTCCATGTTTTAGATTTCTTAACCCTTTCTTCTCTGGCCTCCTGCATTTAAGAGCCTTTCCTCAAGCACATAACGAGCATTTACACAAGCCTCACCTCATCTTTGGAGGAACTACCACTACTGTGGTAATTAGTGCAACATTTTATGGGTTGTTTATGTGACATCTCCTTTCCAAGGGGTAACTGGGAGATAGGTTCAACAACTCTGTCCCAGTTTTTGTCACCCCATACATATAATAAACGCAATAAAATGCAAAATATAACATGCATTTTAATTCCATAGCTAAAATATCTTCCCTTTGACGGGTGATTTTGCTAAGCACCACTTAACTGTCATTAAAGTTATCAATTTGTTTTCTTTTTCCTCCCTCAGGCCAAATTGAAATCCCACATCCAGAACCCTAGTGCACCTGAATTGGTTCATTTTCTGTTTACACCATTAAATATGGTAAGGTTTTATGATTTTTTGAACGTGTCCATCAGGCTTGCTTCATTTAAATGCTCTGGAACATTTAAAAATGTAATGAGATTAAAAATGGGTTAGCGGGGACAGAGTAAGGAAAAATTACTAGTGTAGTTAATTTTTTGGATCAGGATCTATTTAGAAAATAAGCATGTTAAGAATATAAGGAATGCCATGTTGGGCCAGGCCATAGGTCCATGTAACTCAGTATCCAGTATCTCTTAGTATCAGAGACAGGCAGCTCAGAGGGAGCATATTTATGCAGGGCCTATCCAAGCTGATCTCTCCCCACCGTTCTTCAAAGCTTTCATCACTCAAAGACCTAGCAAGTTAGGGCTGTGCGAAGCTTCGGTTGCTGATTCAATTCGGTGGACTTTCGGCCCAACTCGGTGGCCAAATTTCCGAATCCAAATTGAATCAAGAGACCCTTTAATCTCTCCAAATCGAATCGGAACCCTCCAAATTGATTTGGAAAGATTCAACTATTCAGACGTAGACACAGCTTTAAATGTTTTTTCTAAATACCTCTGGGTAGCAGATGGCTCATGAATGCTGAGATGCTGGGGCAGATGGAGTGTCCCATAGGAGTGTGGAGGGTCCCCAGTGCATTCAGCAGCAGATCCAGAAGTTGACCAGAAGCACTTCTGGTCCACTTCCAGGTCCGCCAGGGGATGTGCTGCCCCCTACCTCTCGTGTGTCCCCAGCTCGCCAACTGATACCTCCTCGGTCTGGGGGCACCAGGGGTCCCCCTGTGGTCGATCACAGAGCCAGGGCAGTGAGGGGGTGACCCCCCCAGCATAGTCCTCGGCAAACCTGGAAGTACTTCTGGTCCACTTCCAGGTTTGCTGCCGAGCACGTGGGGGACCACCCCCACCTGTGCTCCTGTGGGATGCTCCATCTGCCCCAGCATCGCAGCATTCATGAGTCACACCTGGCACCTCGAGGTATGTAGAAAAACATTTAAAACTGTCTATGGCCGAATTGCTGATTCTCCAAATCAGCATTGAATCTTCAGATTCAACCGAATCGACAAAATCAACCAAATCAACGAATTGAATCACTATCCCCAATTCACACCTAATCCTAATAGAATACAGCCCATTTTGCACACCCCTACTAGCAAGTCCTAATTTAGAAAATTCACCCCGAATTATCAGTATATTAGTCTTTTATAGCAAGATGTTTTTAATTAACCCTAGTTTTAAAATGTATGGACAAATTCAAATTTTGCCTATACTTACATTTTTCCTTAATAAGAAAAATGAGTACAAAGCTACTGCCTTCCATTTAAACACTCTGGAAAGAGATTTAAATACATATTCACCGTAAGGAGATCCAGACAGTATTTTTATTAGTTAAATGCAATTTGATCACAGGAATATAAACCATCCCATGCCACATCTAAAATGGGGGGAAAAAACAAAACAAACAACATTTGAAGAATTACGGGCAAAAGTGTATTCACATGTTGAGGGCAACGATAAGGTTGCCAGCAGCAACAGGTTACAGCTGATCCTCAGGACACCAGCTTCATTAGGATTCTATCAAATGCAGTAATGTTAGCACCTCACTGGTATTTTTATCATGTGGCCTTCTAGAAGAAGAGTATACATTTTTTTTAGGGTTTGAGGTTTTGTTTTTTACTTTTTAAAGTAAGGGCATGTTCTTTTAAAAAGATGTCTGCTCCAGACCTACTCTCTAACACTTCTGTACAAAATCCTTGTAGTCTCAACCTTTCTTTAAGTTTCACTTAACATCTATTGAGCACGGGTATTTAAATCCATTGATTTTTTTTTTTTTTTTTTTTTTAATTGAATAAATAGTACTTTAAAATTGTCTTGATGTAGGTGGTACAAGCAACTGGAGGTCCAGAACTTGCTGGTACAGTACTCAGCCCCCTCCTAACAAAGGATACCATAGATTTTTTGTGTTTTACTGTGAACAGTGAGGAAGGGCAATTGTGGATGTCATTGGGTGATGCATGGACCAAAGCCAGGTAAGAAAATCTCTTTGCATATTTTAGAGATGATTTTTGACAATGTAATATCAGGTCACTAAAAATATCTCTGCACTCACCAGATGGTTCATGCTAAAGTAAACTCTGTGTAAGTAATGTAAATTTTGGCTCTCTTTGAGCCTGATCTAACTTCTTCAGAAGTCAGTGTCAAGGCTTTCTTTGATTTCAGTGGACATCAGGCCAGCCTTTGAGGAGTTGGGAGGTAGTGTTTAGAAATGAAAGCAGTTCCAAGTGTGGCTTTTTATTTTGCCTGTGATATCAAAAGGGCAAACTTAACTACATAATCTTTCACCCACCATCTTTCCAAATGGCCCTTTCCATTCCCTTCCCAATCTCCCCCTCCATTTCCATTGTCATTTGGTCATCAACCAGCTGGACTCAATTAACAGTCTATTTTAAGGGAAGTGCATTATTTAGTAACAAAATAATGACAACATTATTATAAAGAGAATTACAAACAGATTTCTACTTTAAACTTCCAAAATTATTTAAAGTCAGCAGGCTTACAACAATTATTGATGTCTCCAAAACGTCTTTTAAGAAAAATATTTTTATTTAAGCAATGGTGTTTAATTTAACAACTGGATGATGTTAAGTGTATATGCATAAGGGAATCCACACTTTTAATGTAATGGATTCATCAGTGTCTGCAGTTAGAACATAGCAAATATTTGCCCTCTTCATACATTATGCTTTTGGCTGTTTTTTTACACACACGCACACACAAAAGATGTCTGGGATTCTTATAGGCTTTGAAGGCTAATAACAGGGCATCTGAAAAAAATTAAAATCAATACAGTGTTTCTTAACCACGTGGTTCTTGGAGTTGGGTTACTTCAGATGATGATAATCTGCAGTGGCAGGAACATCTGTGACTAAGTCATCCTAGCCAAGTGTCCACCCTGCTCTTGAAAATTTCCAGGGATGGAGATTTCGTCACTTCTGTAGGTAGCCTGTTCCAATGCTTGGCCACCCTCATGGTCAGAAAGTTCTTCCTAATCTCCAAACATCCCTATCTATTTCAGCCTTTCCAAATAAGTCATGCTTCCTCAGCTTCTATTCATTTTTCTCATTCTCTGCTGGACTCTTTCCAATCTGTCCATAACCTTCTTGAAGTGTGGGGCCCAAAACTGGACACAATACTGCAGGTGCTGAACAGAGTGGAAGAATTGCTTCCCTTTATTTGCTTGTGATACTTCTGTTAATACAACCCATCGTGCTGTTGGCTTTTTGGAAACAAGAACACGCTGTTGGCTCATATTCAGCTTACGACCCATGGTAACCTCCAGGTCCTTGTCTTCTGTACTATAACCTAGCGAATCATTCTCTAGTCTGCATTTGTGCATGCAGTTATTCTGTGCCAAGTGCAGGACTTTGCATTTGTCCTTGTTGAATTTCGTCTGATTGATTTTTTGGCCCATTCTTCCAGTTTATCCCTGTAATTCTGGATCCTAGCCCTACCTTCAAGAGTGTCTGCAACTCCAACAAATTTGATGTCATCTGCAAATTTGATAGGTATGCACTCAGTCTAATTGTCTAAATCATTAATGAAGATGTTAAATATTGGACCAAGGACAGACCCCTAGGGAACCAATTGATAACTCCACCCAACTAGACATTGAGCTATTGATGTCTTGTTGAGCATAATGATCCAGTAAATTTTTGTGTTCACCTTACTGTATTAATCTAACCTGCATTTCTTTAAAGTCAAGGGATATTGCATCTACTGTCTCCCACCCACACACCTACCTCCTCCCCACATGCACACACCCATCCAGGGAGCCTGAAACCTTATTGGTGAAGAAAATCGGGTTGATCAGCTTAGTTAGGCATGACTTGCTCTTGGTAAATCCATGCTGTCTGTTCCTTATTACCTTGTTCTCCTCTAGGTGATGCCTACTGTGACATCCCCCTGCTGCTCTCCCCCTGACTTTTACCCAGACACTTTCAACATGTCTACCCCCATCACTTTGTACTGTATCCTAGAATACATATGTATTTCCTTTGTATATAAGGCAATACCACCTCTTTCCCCCCCTACCTGTCCTTCCTAAACAAGTTATTACTATTCATGACAGTACTCCAATCCTGTGAACTATCCTACTACATCTCCATAATCCCAATTACATACTTCCTCTATTATACTAGGACCTCCAATTCTTTCTGTTTGCTCCCCATCTCTCTTATTAGAATAATAGAATCACAGAAAATGAGGGTCGGAAGGGACCTCAGGAGGTCATTTAGTCCACCCCCTGCTCAAAGCAGGACCATCCCCAACTAGATCATCCCAGCCAAAGCTTTATCTAGTCATGCCTAAAAACCTCCAAGGATTCCATCACCTCCCTAGGTAACACATTCCAGTGCTTCACCACCCTCCTAGTGAGAGTTTTTTTCCTAATATCCAACCCAAACCTCCTTTGCTGCCCCTGGAGACCATTGTTCCTTGTTCTGTCATCTGCCACCACTGAGAACAGTCTAGCTCCATCCTCTTTGTAACAGCCTTAAAGGCTGCTATCAAATCCCCCCTTTTAGTATATGAACATTTCAGGCATGAAACTGATTGTCCTGTTTTCTCTCTGAGAATGCTGATAAGGCTTCCCCTATTACCTCCCCATATTAAGTTTTGGGTTTTTTTATCCATGAAATATATTAGGATTTGGTTCAGAGATGTCATACATTTTGAATGTATTCATCCACCCACTCAGATCAAATCATAAACTAAGCCTCAACCTATTATGTGCTTTCAAACAATACATTCAAGTATATTTTTTTATTTAAATCTGAAGTCCACAGAGGAAATGCTGAACAGCCATAGGCTTTTGTCACTTCAAAGATCCTTGTACTCCCTCTTATTCCTGAACAAAACCCTCATTAGGGTCAAAAATGTACCAGCCCATGCTTCCTTTGGCTCTTTTACTGAGACTGATAATTGATAATCTTCAGTTATTACTGACCTTGGCTGTGATCCAGCAGAGGCATCTGATTTTGTAGACTCATATGGGGAGTACCCTTTTGCAGTGTTAGAACCCTGTGTTGGAATTGAAGGCATGACCTAAAAATAAGAGGCATTTTTATTCTGTGTTGATTCCCCTGACCCATCCAATCCTCTCTGAAAAAATAATGGTTTATTCCAAAAAGTAGTATGCATCAGTCATTTGGAAGGTTTGAACCCTTAAAGTAATGGTGTGACTAACTACATATTCTCTTGTTTTTCTGCTGGTGACATGGTTCTGTGCTGTGCAACTTAGCTATATTTTGTCACGAAACAACATGAAGATCATTAATAACCTAGGGATTGCTGAGCTTGCTTATAACTTAACATCAACATGTTGGTGCTTGAGTAAATGCTGGCTGCTTCTACGCTGGTTTGATAGCATTTGTCACCTTGATTTGTTTTTAACAATACCCACAATAAGTAATGTTAAAAGAAACTATAAAGTGTATTCTGAGGTCTGTTTGTCCTTTGAGGAGGCAATAATTCATGCTGCAGGGCAATGTTTTATGTACAGTATATAGGCCCAGCAGACCATGAAAAACTTCTTCAGATACAGTGAGTTCAGATGATGAATACCAATGGATCTCTAAGGAATAACACAGTACTTTCAGAAATGCAGTCTGTGTTAGAAAATTCAGTTCAGCAAATTTAGTGATTACATTGACTCCTGTGAGGCTTTTTGTTCTTTTGTGTGACAAAAGCAATTCATCCTCTAGTCTAGCTTTCACCTTCATAGCTTTAGGCCCTTGTTATACCTTACACTGTGAGCTGTGCAAATGTTGTTAGTGCTAGCCTGGAGTTTAGAGCAGTCAGTCTAGAAACCCTCTGTCCCTGACCTGCACAGCTGTGACTTGCCACTAGAGGTCTGGTAAGCAGGGACAGGACTAGGAGCTGTATGTGTGGCTATGAGTTGCTAAAGGGCTATGGGCGGGTATGTGAAAGATCCTGGGATACTGGAGGACTTTAGCTTGGGCAGCATATCTGTGGGGAGTGGCCATGCCTTAATGAAACGAGCTGGGTAGTGCAGCTCTGAGATAATCCTTCCCTACAGTGGTGTAACTTTAAGCCACATAACAAGTGCTTAAAATCACTTTAAGGCGTTAACATGCAGAAAATCCAGGGCTCAAGAGCTCCAGGAGCTGCCCCAAATTACTGTGTAACAAAGCTCTTAGATAAATAGTCAGTGCTTCCAGCCTTCATGTCTACTTTTTAAACCACATTTTACAGCCTGCTGCTGCTCTGAAGCCTGTCCATGCTAACCCAGCAGAGAGGGCTGGAATTCTAGGTGTTCGGGGGAAATACTTAGCATTATTCACCCCTGAATAATTATAACCCAGGCTTCTTTGTCACCCATCTTCTGCATTGCATAAGAAATGTATATCTCTCTGAGCTGACCGGGCCAGGAGCAGCTTCTTTATATTCCAGAAAGAAGCACAGCAATCCTCAGTAAATAATGTTTTCTGTAACTGTCTGGCTCTTGATACATGACTCTGCCTTTTTTACAGAGTGGACTGGCCCAAAGATCATTTTATTCCACCTTATATTCCACGCTTCAGAAATGGTTGGGAGCCTCCTTTGCTGAGCTTTATGGGAGCTCCCAAGGAACAAGAACTGAATCAGTTGGCTGAGTCTGTGGCAAATGTTGCAGAGCAGCAGCGCAAACAAGAAATGAAAAGATTGTCAACTGAGGTAGGTTAATTGCTAACATGTTTTGTAAGGTGGGGGATAAGGGGCCAAGAGTATAGCTTTCAAATGGGACCACCAAAGGTGATACTAGATTCTGCTGTCAACCACACCAGTAAAAACTGGTTAGAACTCTATTGACATTATGTGTGTTTCTCTAAGTACAAGTCTGGTTCATGCAAGAATAAAAAGAAAATAAAGGTACTCATTCTGCTCCCACTGAACTGAACTCATAGGGTACAGGTTTTCCATAGATTAAAATTGGAGAGTTGATTCTGGTCCCTGAGGATCCAGTTTTATCCTCTGCATACAACATGTTTTCAAAGACCATATATTATTAGATTGAATACATGTGTATTAAGTAAAATCTAGATCAATATTTTTATGCAATTTTGTAAAAGAGATTTTTTGAAATGCTTGGATTTATATGGCTTGTGTGACAAAAAGCAACTATAATCAGTTTTATTTATTGTTTCTCAATTCAACGTGCCCCTTTATATCTCGAGATGCTTTCACCATATTTCAAAGCAAACACACAATACAGTTCAATTCAGTTCAAAGCAGAGAGACAGGAGGAACCTGCTTGTGAAGGACAGGCCTGCTTATTTGCCTATTAGAGTCATTCTGGTTGAGCTAACTCTCAACATTTATCTCCTTCAGACTCCTAAAACACAAATGGTCACATGGAAAAGAATATCAAATCTGAGCTCTGCTGGATGCAGGCTGGAAATATATTCCAGATCACTGCACTTCAAGGGAAAATCCCCTATCCTCATACCTTTACTGAGTCTGCACACATACTTGTGGGGGGCGCGTGTCCGCATGTTAATTAAAGCAGTTCTCAGGAGCCGCTCTAATTAAAACACCAGCAGCATCTCGTGTATTCAGTGTCCCATATTTCAAAATGGTGGTGGGGACACTGTAACTAAAGCTTGTTTGACAAACTTTACTTTAAGCGCTCCTGCCACCATTTCAAAATACATGGATACTGAATACAGAAGATGCTGCAGCATGCTGGACCACTTTCATTAGAACGCTTCAGCAGCCTCTTTTTTTTTTAAATCAAAAGTCTCTTCCAACACGTTCTAATCAGAGTGCATTGGAGCACGTGTAAAAGTACCCTTAGTATCTAAAATAGAGTTGATTGGAAGGCGTACGTTATTTCCTGTGAGAGGTTTTGAACGAAATGATTTTTTTTTCATAAAAAAGAAATAGATTTTTCAACTGAAAAAAAAAATTGAACATTTTTTTTTTTACTATATATTTTTTTTAAATCTATTATTTACATGGTAAAAACTTTCTGACTAGTTCTGGTTTAAGCCAAGGAGGGACTGTAGCCTGAATACCTCTTTTAATATCAGCTGTGACTGGGAGAAAGCTAACCATTGTATACAGCTCCTAACAGTATCATAGAAAGCTAGGGTTGAAAGAGACCTCAGGAAGTCATCTAGTCCAACCCCCTGTTCAAAGCGGGACCATCCCCAACTAGATCATTCCAGCTAAAGCTTTGTCTAGCCACATTTTGAAAACCTCCAAAGATGGAGCTTCCACCACCTCTCTGGGTAACCTGTTCCAGTGTTTTACTACCCTCCTAGTGAGAAAATTCTTTCTAATATCTAACCAAACTTCACTTGCTGCAACTTGAGACCATTGCTCCTTTTTCTGTCATCTACCACCACTGAGAACAGTCTAACTCCATCCTCTTTCGAACGCTCCTTCAGGTAGTTGAAGGTTGCTATTAAATCCCCTCAGTCTTCTCTTCTCTAGACTAAAAAAGCCCAGTTCCCTCAGTCTTTCCTCATAAATTATGTCCCCCAGCCACCAAACCATTTTTGTTGCCCTCCACTAGACTGTCTCCAATTTGTCCACATCCTTTCTGTAGTGGGAGGCCCAAAACTGAACACAGTACTCCAGATGTGGCCTCACCAACGCTGAACAGAGGGTGACCTACTGGCAACACATCTACCAATGCAGCCCGGTATACTGTTAGCCTTCTTGGCAACAAGGGCACACTGCTGGCTCATATTTAGCTTATTGTCCCCTGTAACCCCCAAGGAATTTTCTGCAGAGCTGCTGCCCAGCCAGTCAGTCCCCAGCCTGTACTGGTGCATGGGATTGTTCTGTCCTAAGTGCAGGACTTTGCGTTTTGTCCTTGTTGAACCTCATGAGATTCCTTTTGGCCCTATCCTCCAATTTGTCTAAATCACTCTAAATCCAAGCCCTACCCTCCAGCATATCTACTACTCCCCCCAGCTTGTTGTCATCTGCAAACTTGCTGAGGGTGCACTTTATGCCACCTTCCAGGTTGCTGATGAAGACATTGAACAAAACCAACCCCTGGGGCACTCCTCTTGAGAAGTGCCAACTAGATATTGAGCCATTGATTGCTACTCTCTGAGCCCGATGCTCCAGCCAGTTTTCTATTCACCTTACAGTCCATTCATCCAGTCCATAATTCCTTAGCTTGCCTGTGAGAATATTGTGGGAGACCATATCAAAAGCCTTGCTAAAATCAAGTTATACACCATATCCACTGGTCTCCCCGTAACCAAAGAGCCAGTCATCTCAGCATGGAAGGCAACCAGGTTGATCAGGCATGACTTGCCCCTGGTGAATCCATCACCTCCTTCTCCTCCAAGTGCTTATAAATGGATTCCTTGAGGATCTGCTCCAAGATTTTTCCAGGGGCTGAGGTGAGGCTGACTGGTCTGTAGTTCCCTGGATCCTTTCTTTCCTTTCTTAAATATGGGCACTATGTTTTCCCTTTTCCAATCATCCAGGACCTCTCCTGATCCCCCCCTGAGTTTTCAAAGATGATGGCCAATGGCTCTGTAATCACATCAGCCAACTCCCTCAGTACCCTCGCGTGCATCCCATCTGGCCCCATGGACTTGTACATGTCCAGCTTTTCTAAGTAGTCTCTAAACTGTTCTTTCAGCACTGAGGGCTGCTCACCTCCTCCCCAAACTGGGCTGTAGGTTAAAATCAATCCTTATGCTTCACTTGTCACCCTTAGGCCATCTCTGCAGAAGCCAGAATTATGTTCAGGGGGAAAAAAGTTAATACTACTATATTAGAAATAGAGTGATGGTGATGTTTCCCCCATTTACAAGTTAGCATATCCACAGTTGTTTTAGCAAGAGAGTGTGTACATAAAAAGATCTGGGGGAAGATTTTCAAAACCAGAGCTAATGTAAAAGCACCCAGCTACCATCTGAACAACCTTCCTTTAGTTATCATCTTTTAACAATCTTTATTTGTAAGTTACTCCAATGGTGATTTTTTTTTATGCTGAGGAAGTTTGGGATCATACAGGGAAAGGTGGTCTCCATTCTGAAGTGTATCCGGCTCCTGGTTCTTGATTGAGGCCTGTCCAGTTAGGTTTGGAAAGCTGATTGAAAAGGCTATTTATGTTCACAGGGAGAGCAGAGAAAGAGATAGGGAGGAAGCAGTTTTCCTATCCTTTGACATTTTTCAATTGTCAAAAAATGTTCCTGTTCCACACTAGTATGAAACCAACTGGAATGATTTTTTTTTTTCCATTGTGGAATAGGCAATAGCTTAGTCATTGGGGCAGTCACCTGAAATGTGGGAGACTCAGGGAAAGGAGGTATCCTTAAGGTGAGGTATCCTGAGTGAAGAATTCCAAAGAAAATATCTTCATTCATTCATCTTCATATCCTGAAGGTGAGGTATCCTGAATGAAGACAATATCCTGAACGAAGAAATTATCCTTCATGTTGAATATTACTTGACTTTTTGTCTACAATACTTAACAAGGCATCAAAGGACAAATATACTGACAAAGAAAGTTATTTCGTGTGGTTTTTTTTCCCTTAGTCATTGAGTGAAATTGCATGGGATACTGTCATTTGAAATCTAGTATTTAAAAAAACAAAAACCTAGTTTAAGTCCTATTGCTCTCTGTCTCCCTCACAATTTTTTTGTGCATTTTTAAATGACATTTTTATTTTCTCCTCTTTGAGATTGTGAATAAAACTTTTATCGTCATTTTAGGCATTATTTGTAGTTACAGTAAGTAAAAAAATATATATATTTCTGGTAGAAGTGACTTTTGTGTTGCAATGATTTGATTTTTAAGTCCCTCTAATATTATGCCATTTTGATTGTTAATTGTGTGACTAATTACCAAGAAAAACTAACCAAAGAGTTTGCACCTCTGAGACTCGGCACTCCTAGGTTCTGTTCCTAATTCTGCCACTGATTTTTCTAAATGTCTTGGGAAAATCATTTAAATTAACTTTATTTTGACTTCCCCACCGGGACCGTAGGTACAATGACACCTATCTTAGAGGGGCTGTGAAATCTGATATTTTTGTGAAGTGCTATAAGTCCTTCGATGAAAGCTGCTGTGTGAATGCAAAATGCTAATTGTCTGCATGAAAATGACGGTATAGAAGGTGATACCTGAATGTTGCCCTAATTACCAATTAGTTAGCATGCAAATGGGTTATACATGATAATAGCTAAAGAGAAAATCAGATGGGGGTTGATCAGGAAAATATTTTAATTTTCTTTTGGTATGTCCTTCACATTCTCCTTACTTCAATGCATTCAGTTTCTTTGTGTTGTATCATTTTCACCTAAGAGAGCCAATTAGTAATGAGATTTTGCCTGAGCTCTTTTTTTTTTTTTTTTTTTTTTTTTTTTTTTTTTTTTTTTTTTTTACATGAAATATCAGCAACATTTGCTGACACCATGATCTAGAAACAGGCAGGTACCAGCACAGTACAGCCTAGACCTCTTCCCCTTTGGATTCCATCTTCCCGCAGGGCATCCTTTTCAGAAAAAAATATGACCCAGCATGAAATAATGATATGCCTGTTGCTACCATGGTTACAGTTCCTAACCCCCACTAGAAGGGATTGATCTGATGTCTAGTGGAGGGCATCACAGATTTGAATTCAAGAAAAAAATTCTCACCCCTGAGTTTTAAGATTGTTACATGCAGGGGCTGCACGTGCAGTCTGTTCAGCAATAATTATATCAAAATATAATGGAAATGGGGGGTGGGGAGGAGAAACCACTGACTGAAGCTCGAGAGCCGATGCAATACAAATACATTTATGCGTAAAGTACAGTGGATTACCGTTTCTAGGTTATCTGCTGCTTATATGCTTTAAGGTATAGGGTGCTCAATGTCAAGTTAGGAGGTTTTAAGAACATTGTTTTTTTTAGCACCTTATGTATGCTATATAATTGGTTTCTGATTTGCCTTCACAACCCTTTCTGCCCTCAAGATAGGAAGGTATCATTTAGTATGCCTGCACTCTCTCCTGGGACTGCCACAAACAAATCAGCTTCTGCTCGGCTCTCTCCAAACTCAAGATGTTTGAGGTGTGCCCCCCACCCCCTGCACTGCTGCTTTCCTGCTTTTCAGAGTCAGATACTGAAGGAAGGCTGGAAGCTTCCCAGTGCTTCCTCATTGCCTTATTTCTGGGGTTAGAATGTGCAGAGCAGAAGCAACTGGACAGGACTTTGTCAGCAGAAACATCACAAGTGGACACACATGGTGTCAGCGTAGACATACCTGTTATTGTTGTGTCTCAGTTAAGGAAGGCTTAGGCGTAGGTTAGGTAAATGATTTCCCCTAGGTTGCATACCAAATAAGAATTGGAACAGCGCTTACGTTGTTGGTAGCTTCTGGCCCACAAGTTGCTAGACTCTACCAGTCCTTCAATATCATATGGTAGTGCTTTATGTTCTGCTGATAGTGGGAGGAAAGGAGGCATAGGATGAGTAGCTTTTAAAAGTTTGCATGTAATAATTCTAGGTAACACACCTATTATTGTGATATATGAGTTCCCAATAAATTGTATTTTACTAAGCACGCCTCCTCTTCTATCCTTGTGCTTACTGAATATTACCTTACCCCTTACCTCCCCTGATTCTGGTACTGCTCGGTGTCAAAGTGGGAGAATGGGAAGAATGAGGCTGTCAGAATAATTTTTACACTTTCAAAGTAAGGGATTAATGTTCCTGAGTATCCAAATACATAGAATTTGCATTAGATAATTGTAAGTATAGGTGATCTGATTTAGAGTGTCCACATCCAGAACAAAACCTTAAACCATTTTCCCTACTAAAGCTTTTTAAAGGTATTTGGTCACTGTTGATTATAAAAGTCTGATGCTACAGAGAAATTTGAAGCAATGGCACGAACCTTGATCTAGTGAATTACTGAATTGTCTTACTAAAAATTACCAGCTTCCATATTGCTATGGCAGGATGAGTAAGGATCGAATTTCTTCATCCTTATTTTTCTCATCTTTGTTCATGATTTAAAATGCATGGGCAATTAATGTTTTGTGTCAAAACAACAAACACCTGAGGACCCTATGTGTGATGCTGGTGAGGACCCTGTGCGTCAGAGGACGTTGCTGTAATAAATGAAATACCTACTGTTATCTGTGTAACATTTATCCTGTTTTTTGTTTCTTTGTTTTGTTTTCCAGCATCCCAGTGTGCCAGACTATCCTCCATCTGATGGGTATGCATTCAGTAACACAGTTTACAAAAGAGGGCCTCTGCTGGACCAGGGGGCAGCTGTGGCTGCCTTTAAGCAAACTGTTAGCCGACATGTAGATAGGTAACACTGAATGGGCATTATGTTTAGAGCTGTGGATAACTGTCCCAACTTAATTGCTTTTGAGGTGGAGGTGGCGTTGTTTACTGTTACTTCTAAGTTCACAGTACTTAATCATTTCCACAAGGAGACAATCCTTGTATTTGCTTTTGCTTTTGTTTAGAGCATCTCTCTCAAAGCTCCTTCAGCTTACTCTCTGTGCTCATCAGAAGTTCTCATAAGTGAGTGCTTCTGTTTAAAAAAGAAAAAAAGAAACAAAATAAACCAAACAATTACGTATATACAATGTTGAGAGCACAGAATTTTTCAACTTGGACTCAAAGTATATTTTTTTTACTATTACATTTTGTTTGAACAGTCTAGCTCCATCCTCTTTTGAACCCCCCTTTCAGGGAGTTGAAGGCTCCTGTTCCATTTTTGTTTTGTTTCCAAAATTAAACTCTTATTTATTCTTTTTGAAAATACAAAAAATTACAAGCCTATTTTATATTCCTTTGTCATTATTTTAAATGTTTGTTTGGGACTTTTTGTCTAGTTTTTCAGTTTAATTTCCTTTGCCTTCTTGGTTCTGATTTTTTTTTTCTCAATCATAGCACTGATGTTTCAGAATAACAATCAGTCACATCTGTTCCCTGTTCCTCATGTCGGATTGCACATACTGGTCTGAAATTGTTACAAGCAGTTATTCCACACAGTGTGAAGAGGGCTTTTTGCCCACACTGTTCCCATCCCCTTTGCTTTGTCCCAGACCGCAGCCAATTTGAGAAGAATCAGTACCTTGAGATCAATCAGGCTCTCTGATTAGGCCTTGCACTTCTCCATGAGAACAGGCTAAATTGTGAATGTAAATCAATACAGCTATATTAGAACTACCCAATGTGGAAAATCTTATTCCAGCTTAGATGTGTTTAGTTTGTCTTTTAAGAAGGTATTTAGGCTGAGTTTCTAGCACAAAAGTAATATTGTTCATTTGTGTGGGATTACGTTGGTATAGCTATATCAATATAATTGGTAAAACTTTGGCATATAGATGAGGCTTCATAAATGAACAAATATCCTATTTTAAAAGTGAGGTAGACAAGTTTATTACTTGTGAACATTCATTGTAATTGTTTCATCTCTCCTATCTCACAGAAAGGAACTAAAATGACTTGATGTTATCCCTTAATGAAATGTTGTAAATTATTGCAATTTAGCATTCACTTACAGGATAGAAAAGACAGATGAAATGTTTAGAGTGGATTCAGCTGAATCTCAGTAAGTCCCCTGTGCCCCTCCTCCCACCCCTCTACCCCCATCCTCTATATCTTCTACTATAGTATAATGCTCCATCCGTTCACAACACACATGTCAAAAAGAGCTTTTTCCAATGTGCTCTGGAGCATATTCCATAAGTGAAAACTTTCTCCCTTTCCTGAACCTTGGCTTTATTACTGCAGAAATAACAATGGCATTCATATCAAGTCTTTCACCCAAACTTGGATACTTCTAAGGTTCTTATCTAAGGACTGCTCTGCACACAGCTTCAGAGTCACTCTTACCTCTGATGTATCTGCACTAAGTCATGGAAACTTTCTTTGCACAACCTGAGTTAGATCAACTGAGAGAGAAGTATTTCAGTCTAATACTGCCACCTTTATTAAAGGTGTTTCCAACAGTGTATCCAAGATAACAAATGCATTCTTTCTGGCTGGTCTGGCTTTTTCAATGATGTCACCTGTAGTTAATGGAAAGCTCATCCCTGGGGCAGCATATTAAATAAATAACTAATTAAATCATCTCTATTCAACAGCAAGTGCCGAGACATTGTGAAGAGATTGGAGAGAGAAGTATAGGGAGAAGATTTTTGGAATAAAGCTTGAGGTTTCCCATTTTAGGAACAGCTTGTTTTAACTCTCAGTTTATTGGTAGAAGCTAAGCTTGTAATTAACGAACATCCCTAACTTGTTTGGGTTTTTTCGTAATGGGAAATTAGTTAAATCTGGTTATTGGACCATACTGCTGCTAGCAGAGCTTCTAGGGACCACAAGGATTGCAAGTAGTTCAGGGAAACTAACCACAGAGAGAAAAGAAAGCTTAAAATAACGGAACTATGCACTATCATGCAGGAGTATGCAGTTATAAGTCTTTACTCTTTGGGTGGAAGATCCCTTGGCATTTTACCCCCATGAAGGCAGCACACCTGGGAAGCATGGCTCTTACTGCTATCCTGAATCACTCTAAATTGTGTGGTAGTTAGGCACATATATTGTGCACTTGACTTTTGTGCAGGCAGCCATACAATAACATCACTGAAAGCCACACAACCAAATACAATATATCTCATGGTAATATGGGTTGAAGATGGGTGTTTGTGAAAAACGTATAAGCACAAGTAAAGCATGGGTGAGGAGTGCATTGAGCTGTCATTTAGCACTGGCTTATTTGTGGTAGGAATGCTACCACTGGTTTCAGTCAGAGAAATCATAGAAAATAAGGGCTGAAAACGACCTTGAAAGATCATTGAGTCCGATCCCCCCCCTTTGCTCTGGGCAGGAATACTGCTGAGATCAAATGATACCATCAAGGTGCATGTCCAGTCTCCTCTTGAAGACTTTCAAGTTTGGGGAGTTTACCACCTCTCTGGGAAGTCTATTCCAGATTCGGATCACCCATAGAGGGCAGGGCCCACTGGAAGGACCCTCCTGGGGAAGCATCCCAGGGTCACGGGACCAAAAAGTGCCACGTGTCTAAACCAAGAACCTTCTCCTGCAAGATGAGAAAAATTAAACCAAACATTTAAAAGTTTTTGGAATTCTACTCTGAAACTACTTGGCGCAGATGTAGATGGCAAGGGTAACTGGAGAGAGTCTAGAAAGTGCAGTTAGGTAATATTGTGATTTATCGGTAGCTTCTTTCACATCATAATGACTACATTTTAAAGTTCTAACATTCATGTTTTCTTTTTCTTTGCTTAAGTGTGCTAACCACTTTCACTGCTTTTTTTTCCTCTCCAAGACTATGGTTACTTGTAATATCTAAATACAGCTTTCCTTTGTTCTGCTCTTCAAGTAAAGTGAGACAGTTCTCCACAGCCAAGAATTAGCTAGGTAACTACTGGAGCACTCCAGGCATGCTTGGAATCAGTAGTTACAATCCATGTACACCAATAAACAAATGCATTCATATTTTTGTGATGTGATGTTATGTCCAGCATATCAAAGTCATTGTTTGGTTACTATTTTCATTATTCATTAGTCCTCAACCTTTTCTACATGGTGGTTTTGATGGGTCTATCATTTGCTTTTAGGTAGATAATGCTTTTCTTTCTTTCAGAAGCTCATCTGGGCTTCTGTAAGAACATAGTAGCTCTATATCCAAAGGGAATCTGAACAGATCTTTCCTTACAGAAAAGAAGAGCTGCACTTAGTATTCTTTATCTCACCATGTTTTATATTAACCTTGTCTTTTAAATTACCAAAATAATTTTTCATTCTCATTTAGGTTAGTGGTTGGATTACTAGGGCATATTATGCTTTGTAACTTATTAAGTATACTTACCTATGGTAGATAAGTAAAATTTGTTTTGTTTTTTTTTTAAACTCTGAAAATTATTCAGTGAGTGATTTAAATGAATTGATACACCCTATAAGCAGCGCAAGCTTATTTTGAACACACAAGAGACTTTACGAATCATTAAAAACCTGATCCTAATACAGAGATGCATTGGATAACTGGATGCACCCGAAGTGGCAGTGACACACTGTATTTTTAACACCCTTCTCCAGGGCCAGCCCCAGGGCTGGTGTCCCAATCACCCCTACTTTGTTATGCTACTGTCCCAATATATCAGTGTATTGTAGTACTCAAGATTTGTTAAATCTAATATAGTTCTTTACAGGAACACACAAATAAATTTGATGCATATATTGGTTTACAGAAATATAATGGTATCCACTAATTATTACAGCGTGTACTGCAAATTATAAGCTAATATACTTTATCCCCTCTTGAGGTCCATATTAAAGAATGCCTTTTGGTTATGGACAGGCATTATACTTGTGTTAAATATACCCTTGTAACACTAGAAAAAAATGAGCATACAGCTGTTCAAGCTGTTTGTAGTACTACAAGGATGCTGAAAGTGGTACTAAATAGTAGTGCTTTCCGAGAGGAACTTCTCTGCTTCATAGCATTATGCATAATACCTGTATAGTTGCACCTAGTGATCCAGAACCTCCTGCATCCCACAATCTTCTTCTGTTCTCTCCTGCCAGGGAGGGAGGGGGAGTGACTGGCTCCTTGATGGTGGTGAGCTTTGGGATCCTCCTGCTGTGCCATGGCTAGCACAGCCATCAGAGCTTGAGCTCGGCCACCCACAGTGGCTGTGTCCTTGCCTGGTTCCACCAGTTGGCTGGCCACAGGGTTTCTGGGGCTGATTGGTAGAGTCAGGCAGGTGTGGACTCTGCCAGTAGTTCATTAACAGCTTGCCCTCTTCCCTGGCAGGGGAAAAGGCAGCCTGCCAGTGATTGGGTTCTCAAAGGGACAGGTAGGGCACTGACAGAAGTAACATTTGTCACAATTGGCCCCCTGAAAACACAGCTGCAGAGTGCTTTAAAAGTGGCCAGTTGTTCACTTTTATGAAAGTGAACAATTGTTCACTGATGAAACTCAGCCCCGCACCGCCCCTGGTGCTGTCTGCAGGAAGGGAGGGGATGGAGCTTCTGGCTGGGGTTTGCTGAGCTGAAGTGGGCTGGTGGATTGAACCCCCACCCCCAACCTCACAGCGCCATCCCCCAGCTCCCTTGTAAAAAGGTCACCTGCCACCTACACAAGGACATTCTTGGCTTCGTGGAATATTTAACATTTTTGTTTGCTATCAAATAATAGGCAGTCAATTGACCTTTTTTTGACTAGTCAGTTGACTGGCTTGCCAACCCTACTTTGTAGCACTACAGATGAACACCTGTCCTTCCCCTTTGTCTTTTGATGGCTCTGTAATGCTGTAATATTCTGCATTGACAAATCTTTTGCTAGTGAAGTGTCCAGGAATAGATTTAAGGATACAGGTTAATGATATGTTCGTATTTATTGATCATCTTGGAAGTCTAGCTGAATAACAGTTTGTCATATTTGCTTTATAGAAATTATGAAGCGCACAGCAAAGTGCAACACAAGAAATATGCCAAATGCAAATATGATTTTGTGGCAAGAAACAACAGTGAGCTTTCTGTCTTGAAGGATGATATCTTAGAGGTAATGTATTAAACAAAAATCAGAAATATCGGACACGTCTCAGAATGGATAGTGTCCTCTCTGTGGGCTCTGTAGGGGCTTGGGATAATAACTGGTCCAAATTTCTTTATACCAGCAATTTCTTAAGCTTAAATATGAAAGTTTAAGTTCTGTTTTTAGAGATTTTGCATTGATTAGGTTGACTGGTCATTAATAATTTGATGGGATCACATACCTTCTTCAACACTAGTTTGTAATTAGTAGGTGTACAACAAAAGTGCTTAAGACCCTGTCAGTCTCTGTACTGTACCCACAACCAGTGAAAGAGCCCCTGTGCTGAAGAATTTGCAGTCTCTAAAAAGACAAGAAGGATGAAGGAAGGGTTGGGACAACATAAAGATGAAATGTCTAAGGTCATGTTTTGCGGGGTCCTTTATCAGAGTTGGAACCTGAGCCTCTTGACTACCCATCCAGTTCTCTCTTCAGCAGGCAGTGTGGTCTTCCTAACTGTTGTACCTTCAGAAATTGTCATGATTTTTTTTTTTTAGTTTGTCTTTTGGCCATCAGTTAGCATTCATATATTCAGTTTCAGTTTTAGTCCATATCTGTGAGGTGTCCCCAGCAAATGTGGAAGTTTAAACTTATCTGTAAAACCATGAGACTCCTATTTTTCATCCCTCTCAGATCTTGTCCACTATTGAGACACAAAAAGAGGTGGCAGGTGCTTACATATTATTTTAAAAGTGTTATACGTATACACACACAAGCCCTTGACTGAAATCTCTAAACAGTACTTCACATAAAAATTAATTATGATGATGATGGAGATGTGCTGCAATAGTCCCTTAGAGACATTAGTAAAAACTCTGGCTGGGCACTGTAATCAATTACAGTGTTTCTAAAGCATTTAGCTATTGACTGACTGTATTGGAAGCACTGAATTTCTGTACTCAGAGGGGCCTTTTCTGTTGCCTCCAGGGGGGGATTAAAATAATTCTTTCATATGAATTGAACATGGAGGGATAATATAGTTAAGCATAACTTAAGAAGTGACCTAGCACAAGTTCCCCAACTGGTTGTGAATAATCCCAGCCCTCCATATTCCATAAATAAAATCACCACTGAGCCAAATAAAATTACAAGGTGATGGAAAAGTCTTCAATATGGGTCAGAAGGACACCAACCATGAGAAGTGTGTGGAAGAAAGCAGCAAATATTATTAAAAGTATACTTCCCCCATTCAGTTTTAATTGTAGAATATCTTTTGATAGCCTGTTTCACTATACAGTTACTAAGCAAGTACATGCACTACTTAACAAGGGATATTTAATGACAGCCAGCAGCTTCTTTCCATTCTACTAATTAGAGGAAAAATAGGCTGATATTTTTTTTAATAGGTTTTACTGTGCACACTGAGGTCTCTGTAGACTGGACCATGCTTGTAATGGCAATAACATGTTTGTGCCTTCAGTCCAGTAAGTATAATCAGTCAAATCAAAAATTATATAGAGTGCACTTAAGATGGGAAGGGAGTGAAGGAGCTAAACTGAACTGAAAACTGAAAGCTGGTGGATGGGGACCTGGGGATGATGGGGCATTGCTGCAACCTGTACAATACAAGCCAAAAAATAACCACAAGATACCTGCATCCAGTCAGGGCGGCTAGGATCTGGAACCAACTTCCAAGGGAAGTGGTATTCACTCCTACCCTGGGGTCTTCAAAAGGAGGCTAGATAGACACCTTGCCAGGGTCGTTTGAGCCCAGTATTTTTTCCTGCGGACTAGATGATCCGCTCAGGCCCCTTCCGACCCTACCAACTATGAAACTATGCATTATTCAGCATTTTAATTAAATTAATTAAATGATTGCAGATCCTGGATGACAGAAAACAGTGGTGGAAAGTTCAAAATAAAAGTGGTGCTTCAGGGTTCGTGCCAAACAATATCTTGGACCTATTGAGATCTCAGGAACCTGGTTTGGGACGTTCTGAACCTGCATATACTCATACTATACAGGTATTTGTCATTGTTCAGACTTAAATTGTATTTTTAATGCTGGAGGAAGAAAGAATGATTCAGGGATATAAAACAGTCTCTAAACTCTAGTGCAACTTCAAAAGATTTCTTTTGTTCTGAAGGAGTTGAATTTAGTTTCTGTGTTGCCGAGTCTGAAATAATGAAAACTGCAGAATTGATCATATGTCACAATCTTTTTTCTGAGGGTTCTGTTCTGCTTGTTTGCTTGGTAGAATTGGCATGATTGTAACCTAATATAAGCTGTGCATTTATTTTAATCATAAATACCCATCATGTATTGATAGCTGTTGATGCCAAAGAAGGAGTTTGAATTATTTAAGGTATGGTTAATTTAATTTCCTCTAGGACAGTGAACTTTAGTTTCTCCTTTAGTTTCTGTTCTTTCTGTGTTTTTGTCTGTGTGAAGATATATATTAGTCTCTACTATCTCACATTTTTTAAGTTTGTAAATACATAGGTGTAGAAACCTCTGTATGGTATTGTGGCTTCAATAGATTTATGTGTTTGCTATTTGAGTTCGTGGAAAAACTTTCTTAATCACAGCCTTAGTACACTGACAAAAAAATCTAAGTTTTTGGCCTGCCTGCCTTTTTTTTTTATGGAATACTGTTTGGAAACAAAGTATTTTATCCACTGATTACGTGCCCAGAGCACAGTTAAAGAGCCTATCCTGCAGTTGCAAAATATAAGGGTCCTTTTTGTCCAGGTATGATGTTCAGGTGGATAAGGATGTTTAGGATCAGAACATAAGTATATTTTAATACCGTCATAGGAGGCCAAAGGCTTATGTGTACCTGTCTTCTAAGAGTGTGTTTTGTTTCTTGTTTTCTCTTGTGCCATGTTGCTTCTAGAGATGGGCGAGGCAGTTTGGGTGAAGTGGAATTTCAGAATGTATGCTTGAACCGTCATCCAAAAGCAACAGAAACCTCAAATAATTTTTTCTCTGATTAATCTTGTTTTCTATTATTCACTCTCTTATGCTCTTACATTTCTGGTTTCCAGTCAGGAGTTGAAATGCCCATCTGCTTTAATTAAGTACTCGTATTGCAGAGACAGCTGGATCGCATATGATTGCCAGGCACTGTATACGCAAATAAGATGAAAGATGCACCTTTCATGTCATTTATAGCCTAAAAGCCCTTAAGAAACTAGTCTTGCTAATATGTCCAGCCCCAGTTCCAAAGACCCATCAAGTTCTGATGTAGTAGATAAGCTTCCAAAAGACTGAGACTTTACTCTTCAATTTGGGGGCACATCGAATGTCCTTTTAAACCTTTTCCTTGAGCAGCTCTGGAGTTGTAGACACTGCCCTGAATAAGGTTTGCATATTACTAGCTGTTTTCAAGTAACATTTCAGCTCTTTTTCTAAATAAATTCTGCTTTTTACCTCTGTGTGGTGTTAAGCATGTGTCTGGAGTGGTTTTAATGATCTAGGTTTTCTTTCCTAGCTGCATGTAGCTCATGTTTGTCTGGCACTATTTACCAAAAACTATTTAGTATATTATAGTGGTATATTTTTTTAAAATAGAACATGTTAAAGTCATTTGCTAAATAAGGCCACAGGTTTTGGAGGCTTTTTCCTTAGAATAAAGAAACAGAAAAGAATAGAATATGTGCTTTTTACTTTTTTTACAAAGCACTTCTCTCAGAACCCTGGAAATTAGTGAAAGAGAATGACCTTCTAATGACAGTGTAGTACAGGGGTAGGCAACGTTTTTTGGCCAGAGTGCCAAAAAAACCCACAATGTCTACCTTGGAAGGTGCTGGAGTGCTCACATGCCAGAGCCCGGAGCAGCTGTTTGCAACGTGGCCCACGGAGCCCAATCTGCTTCCAACAGAGCTTGCAGCCTCCCAGTTGCCTGCTGAGAGCAGCCTGGGCTCCGTGGCTGGCAGCAGCTGCCTAGAGCCCAGGCTGGTAGTGGTGTGCCGAGCAAAATGGCCTCACATGCCATGCTCAGCACGCATGCGGGGGGTTGTTGACCCCTGGCATAGTACTTCCCTCTCCTTGCCAGTATTCAGCCTAGCAGAGACATTCCTATGTGTGGCATGCACTACTTGCCTTATGGTATTTTAAAAGTGAAATTTTCTCGTCTTCACCCAAATTATTTATTTCCCTAGCAGTACAGCCAAATAGAAAATAATGCAGAAACTATTTTTTCCCAGACAGATGTAGTCTGTACTTTGCCCATTTCTTGTTAACTTTGATCATGTTAGAATAAAGTCTGAATGACATAGTTCCCATGTTCATGTTCTGAAGCAAATTCAACTTAGAAGTACCATAATTAATAACATTAGGACAAAATCTCCCATGAGATTCACTGCATTGTCAATGGTATATTATGAATACTGTGTAGATGGGGAAAGTCTTCACCAAAAATTGTCATATTTTACTTCTTGGTTAATTCTATAATTCTAGTGCTCCTGAACCTATTTATCTATCTGCCTTGGGTTCTATGATAGCCTTAGTGTCTGGCCATTAAGACACTGTTTTATGGGGTGGGCCCTAAATGAGGTGGTGGCGCACGCACACATGCACACGTGCACGTACATACGTACGTGCACATGTACGCACACGCACATACACGACAGAGAGATAGATAGATTTAACAAATCTTTAATGCATTCATTTTTGTAAAAACCTTATAAGGTAGGAAAATTCTGCTGCCACCATTTTAGAAAACTAAAATGGTAACACTGGAACTAAACCCCAGGTTAGCACCATAGCCTTCTTTTCTAAAATCTGACCATAAGTGGAGTTGGCAGTGGCCATAGTACAACCACAAGTGCACACAAGTGCTGTGTAGACTCCTCCAGGCTTTTAAATAATAGTTCTTTTTCAGCACTAAAGTTTAGGGTTCTCTTCAGGGCATTCTGCCAATTATAAAAAAGCTATGTTCTGTTGTTATGATGTTGTTTATTTGTCCATTCAACCAAAATATTTCTTTTCAAGTATAAGGACTGCACTGCAGAGGTGACTAGAAAGAAAAAAAATCACTTCCGGTTGCTGAAGAGTTAAAATAAATGCTGAAAATGGTCAGATTCCTTGCTCTCCGGACTATTCTCTAGCCTTAAGCCCTCTCCTTGAGAGCTGAGAAGCTATTGCATTAATCATTGTGCTTGCATACTTTTTTTCAGGGCGGGCAGAGAATACTCAGCCTACTTTCTGCTGCGTTCTCTCCACTTGTAACCCTTCTGAGTATACAGACTGGATTAGCTTTTGGTTTCAACTCTTAAACCATTTAATGGGGTGGGCCCTAGATCAGGAGTTGGCAGTGTTTGATGGCGGCATGCTGGAATGACCCAGCTGAGTTCTAAGTCAGGCTTGCACTAGGACATGGCTGCTGCCACCATCACTTTTCCCTGCCACCCAGCCACAGTGCAATGCAAACCAAGCAGAATGCTGCCGAAGCCCTCCCTTTGTGGGCCAGCTGTACAGATAAGCCTATTGATCCTATGACCCCAGCTGACTTCCTGCCCTTTGGGCGGGGGGCTGGACTCGATGATCTTCCAAGGTCCCTTCCAGCCCTGATGTCTATGAAATCTATGAAGCCACCTGTACCCTAGGTTGTCACCTTGGATGGAGTCCCTTTGTCGTTAAAGGTGGTAGCTGCAGCAAAAGAGACACCATCCACTCTATTAGTGCAAGTCTAAGGCTCTGGAATTCTTTTCTCATTGGAAATTACAGTGAAATCAGCCCCAGTAAACAGGCTTAAAATAAAAGCATTTTTTCTTTATAGCTTTATCTGGGTCTATTGATGTCAATTTTTGGTTAAATGCTAATAATAGCCTGTTGTCTAAGTTTCCCATGGTCTTAACTTTTTAACCTGCCTTTGTTTTGGAGCTGTGAAGGTTTTTTGATTGCTATCATACATTATGAATATTAATAGCTCATCATGCAAGCTAATTATTTCCCCTTTCTTCATATGAAGAGTTCTAGTGGAAATGTACACTATGCATACATTAGTTTGTATTTGTTTCAATATTTTTAAAGCAAAACTGAGATGTGAAAGAAGACAAAGGTGTGTCCTGATAGATAAAGAAGAATTTATCCTCCATATATCTGAGTGAGGTAGAGTAATAGTATGCCTGCTTTTCAGCTGAGGAGCTGAGACGGTGTAACACTTTCAAAAGGGCCAAAGATCCATTTTAACAGGTTTTCAGACATTTAGAGGCAGAATCCTCAATTGGATTCCTGGCAGTCAGTTGGTCTTAAAGTACGTAAGTATGCAAACAGGGTTCTTTGGGTGAATCTGATATGTTTTATTAAACCAACTTAAATAGTTGCAAAACAATTATTAAGCAAGCTTTCGGGTTCAAAACCCTTTGTCAGGCTAAGGAAGTTTCAGCAGTTGGTGTGTGCTCTTCCTGGATGGAATGAAAAGAAGAGAAGCCAGAGGCTGGTCTGGTATGCATACAAGACAGGTAGTCAGTGAACCAACCAACATCCCACACCAGGATGGCATCCAAGCCTGCCTTACATATCTACAGGAACAAGATTACAAGTCAGAATACAGACCCAAAGATATTACTGACCGTATACACTTCATCCTCACACACAACAATTTCACTTTTAATAATCAACACTTCCTCCAGATGATGGGAACAGCTATGGGCACCAAAATGGCCCTACAGTATGCCAACCTTTTTATGAGCCACCTGGAAGAAGACTTCCTCAAGAACTGTACCATCGAACCCTTGCTATACTTAAGATATATCGATGACATCTTCATCATTTGGACTGAAAACCTACAATCTCTGATTTGAGTTCCATCAGAAATTCAACAATCACCATCCCTCCATCCAACTTTCTCTAGAATACTCCAGCACCAACATCTCCTTTTTAGACACGATGATCAGTATCCAGAATGATAAAATACAGACCACATTATGCAAGAAACCCACAGACCAACATACATATCTGCACAGAACCAGCAATCACCCTAAACACACCAAAAAAGCTGTGATATATAGCCAAGCCC